GAGATATAAAATTTATATGCTAGATATGAAAATACATAAGAATTGGGTAGGTTGTATGTAAATTCCCCATATAATTAAGCAACAAAAAAGCAGGCGCTGTATTTTTATATTAATGGTGAAAATTTAAAGTTTTACTTAGCCCAACTTGTTAAGCAAATAAGTCAGAAATTTATATTTTATATTTTTGTTTGACTCCTTAATTTATCATTCATAATATAAAACTAAAAATATCATAAGGTCTAATTACTGCTTATATAGATTATAAAAAAATATGATTAACGAATTAAATAAGATCTAATAAGACCTTAATGATAATCATTAATAAAGAAATAGTTTAATTTAGATTAATTAGCAAGGTGTTGGAATGAAATTTGTAGACAGCTTTGCCCCCAAATACTAAACGACGGGACCGTATGGTGTCATCCCAAGCGGGGCCCACAGCTCAACGTCATCCTCCACGATAAGCATTAGCAGACGATGAGAGAGAGCGCGGGGCGGGGATGCGCCGCACACGTCCAAGGGTCCCGCCACCGAGCGTGGGTGGGCGCGCACTGAAAGCGACGCCTACGGCCTCAGAACACCGTTCGCCCTGCACTAGATTCTTCCCCATCCCATACTATGCGACTCGCCTCATTCCCGTGCGGAACCGTCTAATCGCCGTCCGCTTTATACCCATGGACGGTCGGGATCTATGCGGCTGGAGATTTTTCGAGGCGTTAGAGCTCCGGTTCATTATTCAAAGTTTATCCTCAAAAGGTTCGGGATAAATTGCAACGAGGTCCCTACAAATTGTGTAATTAGGATAGGAGCTTGGCGTTATATTTTACGGGGCGCGTGTTAATTTTTTATTGGATGCCGTGGAAGGGATTACTACGCGGTGACTGGTTGCCGAGTCCGCCGTACTAAGGGCCGTGGCAAACTGCCATTGTGTTATAAAGGTTTCCAGCTATATGCAAATACCGAATGATGAATCTTTTGACAATTCTTAATTTTTAGGTATTTAATGAAAATTTAGTGATTTGTTGTGCAAATAAAATTTATTTTCCAAACTTTAAAAAATAGGGTGATTATGGCACTTTTTGTGCACAAAAATTTCGATTATAGAGCAAATAAAGTGTATAATATTTTGAATTTTTTATATTTAGGTGGAATAAAGAAAATGAATGGAGCCTAAAATTTTAATATATTTTCAATTTATCTTTTGGTTTTTTTTTAATATATTTAAAGTTCCTCCCACTTGAGTGAATTTTGAATAAATAAATAACTTGTGTAAGCATAGTCTCTTATCATGTTCGTTGCTTGCCATCATCGGCCACAAACCACTCCACCAAGTATGAATTTTAATAAAGTTTTTCAATCTTAAAATATTAGAGTTTTCCAATACAAAACATTTCTTTAGATATCTATAAGAATGTTTTTTAGCAAATACATGTTTTTATAGTGCTTTTAACAACATTAATTAAGTTTGCTTAAAGAACATATTGATTCAAGTCCAAATAAGTATTGTTGTGTGCTGCAAAATTTAAAATGATAAAGTGATAAATCAATGTTTTAGCATTACACCATAACACAAATAAATGAAGTGTTGAAATAGGGTATGAGGAGATTTTACTTGGAAAACCTGAAAGAGAAAAATCATAAGGCACGACACAATCAAAAAATTTCATCATATATTTCATTGTGCAGAGCGCCACTTGTCTTCTATGTAAAGAAAATAAGGTTACAATGTTTTAACTTAGTTATAAAGATCAAACAACAACTCTCTAAGAATAATTATGGTGTTACAACAACACTAGCGATGGTCGATAGTGTTCTCTGGTGGTCTTTAACTTCTCATTTTATTCAAGAGTGCAAACTTAACTCTTAGCTTCTCCACTCTTCATATTAAAAATAGTCATATTTATGAAGTTTTTGGATGACATTTTAGTAAATTTAGCTAAAATCTCAAAACACTCTATCAAACAATAAAGATTCTTTCCATCCATCATAGACTTTTTTTTAGCGTTTATGTGCTTTAACAACATCAAAATTAAGTGACCTTAAGCTTGTTAGATTCTTCTCATCGAAATACTCGATTTTGATTGCAAACATATAAAATTTAGAGATCCTTTGATCTGAACTTAGTTGGGCTCGTGACAAAGTACTATTGGGTTCAAATAGGCAAGGTCATCAATTTGGCTATTAAATTGCATTAATTATAGGCCGAATGATCTTCTGTTATGTCTGAAAGTTTTTTATCCAACTTGCCTTGTTCATAAAAAATGTTCCAGCGCCAATCTCGAAAACATCTCACAGCTAGCAAAAGAGGTGACGTGGCATCGTGGGACCCACCAAAATGATCTGGGATTGTACATTTACCCAGTCACCACCTATGTACTGAGTGGAAGCCACTTCCTAGGCTGAATAAGTACAAATTATCTCTCAAAGAATCATCTGATCGGACGTACGCGAGTGAGCCCAACACCCTCTACTCTAACCAAGTTGGGTGATTAGAGCAAACCGTCCGATTATAGAGCAGTTGACATCGATCCCTAGCGGTTACCTGGCCCAACGGTTGTCAAACGTAGCCATGACTTGCCGAGATTAAATGACCTACTGGCGGCATGCCAAAATGACCCCGACCTAATGCCGGCCTAGCAAAATGACAGCCCGACCCCTTTCCCTAGAACATCCTTGGGTCCTCGGGCCACATGTATGTATATACTAAAATACCCCCGCCATACCTACATGTACTAGCGGTACTGTATGTAATGTACGACTCCCATTCCTATAAATAGACAGTCCGACTCATAAATAAATGTTACACAATTTTATTGTTCTCGACTCAACTCTTTGCTCTCTCTTCCTTTTTCACACGTTCTATTCCTTGAGCATGTCTCACGGACATATTAGAATTCAATATGCATAGAGATTTGTTCTTGATAATATGGGTTTTTTTAATATATTAATTGTCCCTTTTTTTCATACATCGAAGTATGCATATTTAAAAAAACATATTATATTTTAAAAAGATTTAAGCATAAAATTATAATTTGAGAAACAATACAAGACACAATCACTCTCTAGACATTAGGATCTCCTTTCAAGGTCACAAATCAAGTCTCTTCATCATAAATTCAGTCAATGTAGAAGTTGGGTTGTCAATCGAAACTACAATTGTTGAATTCTTCGCAATACTCAAATTTATTTACAGATGCTCCATATGATTCTAAAGTATCAATGTTTAGTTTAAAATGTTGAAAATGGGTGAAATATGCATTTTTATGCACAAAATAGGTAGAACCATTATAGTAGCTAATGGTGTTATGAGTTGATGTGTGTTTTTCCAGTGACGTGTGTGTGAATCGTGCATAGTCGAATGCTTGTAGCATGCAACGACAAACATGTCAACCAAGACATACCAAATTGAGCTTAGTTGGTTGACCCAATGAGCAATTAGATTATAAGTCCATACATGTACAATACCAAGAATATCCTATTAGTGCAAGAATATAACATCAAGATCTTGCACTCGCTTTCCCATAAACATGGAGACCATTTTATGAATAACAAACGATTTATATGAAGTTTTACTATTCACGCCTCTCTCAATCTCTCTCTCCCTCTCCTTAAGCTCTATTTCTTGTGTGTAATTCACAACCAAATCAGGATTCAACAAAAATAAATATAAGATAAAAATGACATTTATAGATTAAGAAATTATAGTTAGTCTGAAAGAGATTTCTATAGTGCTAGGGGCAGAACCTGAATTTCAAGAGAAGGGGGTTGGAATTAAAAATCAATTAAAATATATTAAAATTTTAATTTACTTTAAAAAACTGAAATGAAAAATTTTAATGAGATAACTTATAAATGAAAAAAAAAATCTCTTTATTGAAATAGACTTCCCGAATTATGTCTAACATTTCTTCATGATATTGAAATCATCACTCATTTATTCTATATTGATAAATATATATATATATATATTCATAAAATAATTTCATCTTTTAAAATAGAAAAAAACCATTATGTTTATCTTAAAATTTGAAGAAAATATTTGATGGTTGATATTAAATGTAGTGCATTTAAGTTTGTTGTGATTTCTTTTATAATGAATGACAAATATGATTTGTAATTTCTAAAATTTCTTCATAAAAAAATAAAATAAAAAATAAAATAAAAATAAAATCAAATGAGATCATATTACATCATAAGCTCTACCTGATTTAATTTTTTTGCTTCATGAATTTTCTTCTTTAAAAACATATAAATAACGTAAACCACATCATACATATTTATAAAATTATAGAGATAACTCAAATATGACTCTAAAACTTGCATATCTTTTAAGCTTTAATGTACCGACCCAATTTAATTATCTCTCAAAATCCTGTCCATCAATTAAAATTATCTCTACAATTTTAATTCTTTAAGCAATTTTTAATTAACATTATCTTTTACAACAGGAATAAATCAAACCATTTATGTGTCAAACATGCAAAAAAATTTGACAAATTGGCACATGTTGTGATTAAACTATTAATATCAAATATAATGTGTGCCATATGATGAGTATAATATATATAAGAATATTTTTTTAATTAAAGAGCTTCCCCTAATTCCACCATCTTGCAAGAAAAAAGTGTCCGAATGCAGAACTGTGTCCAGACAACAGACATGATACAACATCCCCGCTATATCACATCTATTGTAGGAATGGACGCCATATTTTCTCCCTGAGGCAGCAAATATCCAAAGTTTCAAAGCGAAGCTTTATATGGAGCACATGTTCTAAAGAGTCCAGCTAGTTTATTTACGTTTTCCCCACCATAAAGGAAGCAAACATGGATTGGATAAAAAGACCAGCGGATCAGATCAAGAGTGTGGAGTTCTGAGAGCCGCTTATATCCTATTGAGTCTTATCAACATCCATAAAAATATTCAGCACTAATATTATAATTATGATGTCATCATATTCACAATAAATGTGCCTTCATGTTGCTTCAAATAATGATTTATTTTAAGAAATTATTATTTATTTCTCAATTTATTGAAGTTGCCGGCGGCGATATCATTTTCCGGACGGGAATCCTCGCCGTGGGGAGTACAGAGAAAAAGGGGTTAAAAAAACATACAAAAAAACGCCTCACGGCCTCTGAAACGAGACCACAAAACTTCACCCGCATAACTAACGCACAAACACGCGCACACAGAGATACATGTAGATCCTCAGTTAACTTTCCATGGCCGGAAACCCTTCGGTGAAAATTTCTGAAGAGTTTCGTCAGACTAACAGATTTAGAAGCCTCGGACGGCGATCATGGAAGTTATCTTCGGTAGTCGTAACAGACTCCTCAGAATTCATGGATGGCGATCCCGGCCGCCGCTTATCGTCCATGCCGGTGGGAGCAGAGGACCGCTGCGTAAGGCAAAGGTGGAGATCGGCCGGCGGTTGAGTCCGGTCCGCGGCGATGGGAAACTTTCGCCGCTTAGCCGCAGAGAAAGAAGGCGGCCAGTTGTTTCTTGGTCTGGCGCAGATTTCCCCGTCCCCTTCCGCCTCAGTCAAAAAGTTTCCAGTTTTGGCTCCGGCGAGCTCCGGCTGAGGAGAGAGTGTTCCACCACGGAGCACCTTATCGACCGCCGCCTGACAGAGACTCCAATTCCCCGTCGCCAAAAGTCCTACAGCTCCGTTCACCGGATTGATAGTCCTCCCGCAGGCTTCATATAAAAGAGACTGAAACAGAGCTGCAACATAAAACAGAGTCAGAATCAGAATCGATGGAAGCGTATCAGAAAGGAAGCGGGGCTCGGATTAGGGTTTTACCAGGACGCTGCGTCTCAGGTACGGCGGAGATGAAAGACATGAGTCCGGCGCGGCCGAAAAACTTGGCGACAAAAACGGTGGCGTGGCCCTGAGCCTCCGGGCTCTCGATCCACTGAATACACGGCCGCAGAACGCAGGATTCGCTGCATCCCTTTCGAAGAACTCGACACCCGTTGCAGCTCATCGCCGATCGTTCATCCAAAAAAAAAATACGATCAAACTGCTCTTCGATTTAGGGTTCGGTTGGCTATTTCTTCAGTCTTCGTCTTGTGGAGCAGGCGAGGAAGAGAGACGAACAGGAAGAGGAGAATGGAGGGGCTATAAATGGGGGAGGGAGTGGTGGGTTACAGCTAACTATGAAGTAATGACGTTGGATTAAGAAATGAGATTAAAGGAGTGAGAGTGTTAACAGTAGTATTAAGACTAATTAATGTAATTAAGAGAATTAATGAGCTCCAAGGTGATGGGGGGGGTGAGAGAAGGGCGGTTCCGTGTCTCCGCAGCTGGTCCCCATCATCTCCACCTTACGAGTTCTCGGGCGGCAGTGCCGTCTCGGAACTTCTTACTAAGACAGCCCTCATTAATTTTATTAATTAACTTGCCCAAGGGTTTCACCTGCCCTTTTTTTTTAATATTCTTTTTTTTTTTTGGCAAAATATTTTTGCATGATATTCTGCTTTTATTATGCTTTCTAAATTTTGGGGCAGTAGGATTTATGATTTATGGCCTTCCGTTGTGTTATTTATATACAAATATTACGGCTAATTTTTAAATGACACGATAAAATTGTAATATTTATTTGCTTTTGATTTCTTTAAATATTCAAAACATTATTTATTTGCACCTTAGAATTTTCCATTTTAATTTCGACTAATATATTATAAATTCGAACATGTTTTTTATTGTTTTAAATATGACATTAGTGCGCTTTAAATTCAATTCATTGAAATGCTTTATTTTATTTTTAGCCAACAAAGAATGTTGTATTTCCGAAAAATGCCCATATGGGTCAAGATGAGAGCCGATTTATATAACCTAAAAATTCTATCACCCTCGTCGAGCAAAATGAACCACTGCCACTGTAGTTGTGTCAACAACCACGCTCCGATCAGGCCGACTACCCTAGCTGGCCAGCCACACTACTCCAGACGGCTGTCCACCTTGACAACCCACACAACTTTGCATGGTTGGCCACCCTAATCGGTTACTTCCAGACGATCGACCACATTGGGCCTGCCAAATTACTCTAGCTGGTCGGCCACTCTTGGATGGCCGATAAGCACCAGCGACAGAAACACTCCAGATCGACATATCCAAGCAAGAAAACTTTCAAAATATCTTGTACTACCCTTCATCAAGCAACGGTGTATATATATATATATATATATCCTCAAAGAATGGCCAGAGACTATTATACTAGCCACCAACTACCCTCATATGCCTAACTATTCGATATATATATAATTGATGTGTGCCATAAAATTCACGGCAGTAGAGTAATGAATTATCGTCTTAGTGTTGCACGAGGATTAAGCATACATAAATAAAAGAAGGAAAGTAAGCAAGAAGAGACACCTCAACTTTTTATGTGGAAAAACCTTGAAAGGGGGAAAAACCATGAGGTCTAGCCCAGTTGAAATAATTCACTATGAATGACTAGTACACATGTCTATTCTTCACCAAAATTTTGGAAGATGAAATTACAAAGGTGTATAACTGTAATCTAGTTGTAGTTCTCGGTGACAGCAGGTTACAACGGTCATTGCTGATTGCTTTAGAGGTAGTAGTCTGTCGTGAGTGTTGTGATGGTTGCTCCTAAAGTGTTGATTGGCCAGAGAAACCATAGTAAGCAGTTGAAGGAACTATTGACCACATAGGCCGTAGTGGCGAGTATGACTGACGTCTGTAGGTCGCGGGGGCCGGAGTCGAGAGTTGCACGAGCTGTGAACCACATAGAGCGTAGGGGCGAGTAAGAATAACGTTCACAGGTCGCAAGGGCAGAATCGGGAGCTACAAGAGCTGATGACCACGTAGGTCATCGCTGGCACGTGGACCGTACTGATGAGCTCTTGTCCCACAGACGAGTGTGCATTGGTCGACGACAGTCGACGGCGATGGACGGTGGTCGACTGCTGTTAGCGGTGGTCGCCAACAATTGACTGTGATGCTGAGCTGCAGCCCCTCCTCAAGGCCTCAGACTCTCTTTATAGGCTTAAGCTCCTCCCTCATGAGAGGGAAAGGGCATATTTATAGTGTTATGTGTGTCGTTAATGCAGAAATATGAACCAAATTGATCAGACATTCCAGAGAGCTTCCTCTGATCAGATAATATTTAATGGACATTTGAGTGCCTTAACGATATCGAATTTGTGCAATATTGGGCTTGTTGGATTTGTCTTATCGAGACGCTTGATTCAACTATAAACTTGTCAGCTTCCACTTATGTTTGACTTTCCAAATATGTCTCAAGATTCTCTAAGAGTGATTTAATGACTTGATCTGGGCTTAATTTGACTCAGATTGGACTAGTTTTTATATCATTAGGTTCGTCTCATCGAGACGGTTAGTTTGACTATAAATTTGCTAAAATCATATCTCCAGATGAATGTTTCTTTCTCAAAATATTGTCTCGAGATATGTATCATTCCTCGAGATTCGTGTCAAATGATGAAAATTTTTAGGAGACGTAACAATAAGCTTATCATTCTCTCATTTTCACTTCTATAAATAGAGGACATTTTGCACGTGTAAAGGGTCTTGAGGCCTCTCTCTCTCAACCCCCATATAAAGGGAACTCCCCCATTCTTCCCTCTTGTAACCCTCAATTTTAGTGGAATAAAATGGGTCAAATAGCTTGGGAACACCCCTCTTTGTCCCCTCTCTTAAGGGGTGAATCTTTTTTTCTCCAAATCTCTCCGTTTTTTCTCCCTTGATCACCAAGTTCTATCTCTTGTGCACTCACAAGACAGATTTGAATTCAACATTCTAAAAGGTGTTGAGCGTAGAATGTGCCGACAATAAGAAAAGGAGTGCACCAAGAGGGAAAAAATCCTGAATAGAGAAACAAGAGCAAAGAAAGAAAAACAAACGACAAAAGAGAAAGTAAATGATAAAAGAGAAAAACAAAAGAAAAAAAAAAACTACAACAAAAAGAAGAAAAGAGGAAGAATAAGGACAAACTTCCCTCACACTTTAAGAGGGAAAAAAATCTTAAACAGAAAAAAATAAAGATAAGTATTCTTTAATGTAGTTTGTTTACTTTCAATAAGAAACAAGAAAGAAGAAAAAAGACAAAATCTCTCATCACTCAAAACATCCAACACCCATCTCGAAACTAGCTCAAGAAAAGATATGGGGGCGATTTTCTGCTTAGTAGCAACAAGTTCCGCGAAGAGTACGACATAATTCACCCCATTAGCGAGTCTCGACAGTTACCCCTAAAAGCAACGACAAGATTTGTCTAAGACACGACAAAAGATACGGCCCACCAGACGTGTCGTTCCAATAAGAGCAGAAGAGATTGGGCAAGAAGTGAGGCTTGAGTTTAGAAAATACCATATTTAAAAATTTTAAAGCTAAATGACAATCTTCTCAAAAATCATGCCTCAAAATAAAAACATCAATAGCTATAATCATAAACATAAAAATACCTTTAATTAAAATACAATTCCATTAAAAAATATGTATAAAATAAAGAAAAAATTATGTATATCCAAAGTTATTTAATGGAGTGGTCTAAATTCTCTCCTTAAATGCCTCCCAGACTCGATAATTATACTCTTTTCTTTCCCCCAATTAAGAGGGGTATACTATGAGCAAGAAGAAAACTAAAGCTTGGAGCTGAAGTTTAACATTGCTTATGCACCGTAGATACAACGGATACCTTTCACTCATGCAGCCGGAGACCAATGTAGTTCGTTGATTGTTGAAAACGATTTACCGTCTTTTTCAGCCACTGACTCATTGCATTTAAACCCCTTACGGAACCATGCATTTGACACAAAGTTCTGGCATACATTGTATTGTAATGAGACATCCTATAGAACATGTGGGTAGTATTTTAGACATCCACATAGTAAGGATAATCCCCAACATCTTAGAGGGAGGATTCCAACCCTCTAGTCTAAAGAGATAATTTTTGGGAGAGGTATGTTTTGTCAATCCATACACACGATCACTTAATCATTGTCTTTACAGATGCAGATCTCCCACTGAAGAGAAATCTCTACAATGAAGCGACCTTCATCACAACGTTGATAAAAAAACTAACATGTGGGTAGTATTCTCATTGATACAAGAAGTTTAATGAATATTATGTTCACATTAGTGTTCGACAAGATCGGTCTGAAGGCTGACCGGTTAACAACATTGGTTGTCCTGTTGTTCAGATTCTCTGAGGAAATGAAGGAGGTGCCAGACCTTGTCGTTCTAACCATCTTGGGGAGATTCAAGAAAGCAATATATTAATATAGAGGATTTTCTTGTGGCAGAGTCACCTCCGACCTACTATGCTATCTTCAGTCGGCCACCCTCGGACAGCTACCTGGCGGTAACTTCCACCTACCATGTAGTTGTTAAGTTCTCAGTCGACATGGAAGTAATTATGGTATGGGAAAACTTGGAGCAATTTGGAAGCTGCTATTTGTGAGCAGTTTCGAGCATTGACCATGAACCGCTAGACATCTAGTTCCAAAGGGATGGGGGTCTCGAGATCAGTGAGGTTGTTCTCTAGATGTTAGTGTCGGACGAAGAACCTAGTAAGATTTTTCTGATCAGAGAGCGTTTTAACGCATGATTTATGAGCCAACTAGTACAGAAGCCTTTGGAGCACCAGAAAGTTTTATATTGGACCACAGTGGAAATGTCTGGCATTTCAATCGATACAATATGCCACCAACTGAACAGCATCCTCTAATCAAGGTTTGTCCAATAGAGGATCCAGACTACCACTAAAAATTTGGTTGAACTGATAGCGAATGAAGTATAGAAGTCGCTAGGCAATGGCTACATCCATGAAGTCCTGACTTGACTCTCGAACATGATCATGGTCAAGAAAGGAAACAACAGGCGGCGAATGTGCATCGAATTCACTAACCTGAACACCACTTGTCCGAAGGACACCTAACCTCTACTGATGATTGACACCTTGGTGGACGTAGCGATCATGCACTCAGTAACAAGTTTCCTCGATGCTTACTTTGGCTATCACCTGCAAAGTTGCAGCCAGTCGAAGTAGAGAAAATGACATTTATTACTATGCAGGGCATTTTTTGTTTTAAAGTAATGCATGTTGGGCTTAAGAACTCTAGAGCAACGTATCGACGCTTC